GCACTCGTGGCTTTGTTCCAACCTTCGTTTTAAATCTAAGTAGATTCTATAGCTGAGAAGAAAAGATTCATAAGAAGTGATTTGTGGACTTGGAACAAAAGGTGTATTTTGTATAACTAATCAAATATTGGTTGTTTGGCTGTCTTATGTCTTTACTTCTAATTTCTGATTTGCAAGGAATGATTTGTTTATCTATTAACAGACATTTTCAACAATCTATTTATTTATTTATTTTTTTTTAAATCAGGATAGTAAACTAACAACTTGTTACTGGTGAGAGAACATAAAAACTAACATTTTGGTTCAGTGAAAACTGACTGGGCTACAATTTTTTCAAATTGCAGTCAGTTTTCACTATAAATTCCTGCTGTCATCTGTCTGTTCTTTCTTAATGTCGAGAATGGTGTTAGATAGATGAAAGTCAAAATTAGATATGGAAAGCTTAGGGCAGGAGGTCCCGATTTAACTATATATGAACTTCCAGTCTAAATCAGAAGTTGTGTGATTTTAATTCAAAAATTTTCTCCAGAACAGATTTACTTAGATTGTTGTTATTGGGAATTGTTATTGGAAAGTATGATGTACAGGGGCAAGATGCTACTAATTTGAGATCAAGAGTATATATTTTAAATTAAATAAATGAAAAATATGATTAAAAATTATAAATTATTGTGACAATGTCACAATAATTTTTGCTATTTGAGATATAAAAAATATACTTAGTTTATTCAAGGATCTATGATGAATGAATTTAAATATGTGATTTGTGTATATGATTAATTTTTGAGGAATAACAAACAAATGTGTGAATACAATACACACAGAAGAAAATTGGAACACGAAATGAAGAAATGAATTCCAGATTGGTTCAACTATATAATTACTTTCTTTAGTGTTAATGTAATTCTTGTCAGTCTTTTGTTTATACAAACATTTTCAAAAGTAATACCAATTTTTAAAACAAATTTTTGTAAATTCTATAATTATATTCTATAACAGAGGTGGTGAACCTATGGCACGCATGCCCAAAGTGGCATGTCGAAGAAATCATCTGGCTCGTAACGTATTATATGATATTGGTTTATTATCTTTTTCAATTAGGTTCTTTACATTTACTCTAATTACAGCATATTATTTTATTTATTTACTAGGTAAATATAGTTTTTTAAAACTCTTTTCGCCCTGTGGACACTAAGAGGGCTTTTTTATTTAGCTAACTCCAAAGTTCCATTTGGAGTTAGCTAAATAAAAGTTAGTCGGATGGTGAAGAATGGATCACCACCTGAAAATTTTCTGAGGTTTTGATCTTGGGTCCACAAGAGCGATAAGCTACCACTTTGACTGCTTGGCCATTCTGCCAAATTTAAATATAGTTACCAGAAGTCTAAAACTTTGCACGCATAATCATTTTTAAAGGAAAGTATGCTTAATATGCTTACTATGTGGCACGCAGACTCAAAAAGGTTTGTCATCCCTGTTCTATAAGTTATGTTTCCTCCTAAAACAAAGAAAATGTATAATTATAGTGAAAAATTCTGAACTTTAACATTTAAAAAATTAAGATGGGTTGTATTACATTAGTGTGATGCAATATTTTCTCTGGAATGAGAGAGAATTACATTTAGTAATTTACTAGTGATAATAGATGTAAAAAATAGTCATTAATTGTTATTGTGTGTGTGTGTGTGTGTGTGTGTGTGTGTGTGTGTGTGTGTAATAATAATAATAATACCACATTCTGCCAGAAACGATACAGCATATAACTTCTAGTTGCAAGCTATATACATAGGCATAATCAAATAGCAAATATAGTACACCAAGAGCTTGCACACAAACACAAACACAGATTATTAAACACCCAGGTACCATACTACAAATATTCACCATAAGCAGTTTTAGAAAATGACACACACACACAAAATGTACTATGACAGACCATAATCACAGATAAAACAATTCACCACAATAGACCTGACATTACTCTCATTGACAAATGTAGTAAGATTACTTATATAATAGCACTTCCAAACACTCATAATATAAAAAATGCTCTCACTGAAAAGATAAACAAGTACATTCCACTTGCTCAACAAATAAGAAAGATGTGGAGGATGGATAAGGTATTTATTGTACCTGTTGTCTCTCTTCTACCTGTTGTCCTCTCTTCTACCACATACACTACACAAAAGTTTAGAAATATTAAACCATAATAAAAACACATACATGGTACTACAAAAAGCTACAATATTGAACACGTTACATTGTTAGGAAGTTTCTAGATGTTGACACACATACCAATAACACAGAAGCCTAATGTAACACTTGTTTGGCTAGATATGCCTTGACTTTAGTCTCGCATAGCACTTGGAACCAATATCAACTGAGCATGACATTTTCAAAAAAAATTAATAATAATAATTATAGGCTGACTGTATGTATATTTCTTGGATCTTAATACAGTAGAATCTCGTTTTAATAGATGGCAGATTAATGGATTTTTTTTCTAGGAACAACCAAGTTAATGTAATTTTACCTCCTTTTAGTGGATCCATAATTCAGAATAACATATTTTTTCTAGCCCCTTCTATTGTAAACTTTGCATTTTTTCAATGCTTAATTAATATTTGTGTGTTTCTGGGAATATGTAGTTTGATGATGCACTTTTTACATCTGGTATATGTACAATTGAAGAATTATATGAAGAGAGTCAGAAGACTGATATGATTGAGGAGGAGCCACCTAGTGAACATTCTGACTCTAGACCAAGTGTAGTGCTGAAATTTAGTAAGGCCATTGAGTATTTCCAAGTCATCAAGACCTTCCTGACAATTTTAAGCATATACATGACATTGTACATGTTTTGTACCATACATGACATTGGTAATATCTAACAGTTGTAATCAACGGGCAGAAAAGCAGCATCAAAACAAAGATGAATGAGTTTTTTAACAAATTGTGAAGTCAAGTGAAGTGCTAATGAGAATATATAATTTGCCTCCTTTTGTGTTTACAGTATATACAGTTTCTTGTCAGCTTTGTCCTAAACATGTATGGCTTAATGTATTCAATCTTGTAATGTACGTGTTTCAATAAAATACGAATCTAGATCTCAAGAGACTGAATAATTGCAATTACTGGTATTTCTTATATGTAGGGGGTTAAACAGAAATTATTTTGAACAATGGATATTTATCCTGGATGTGCAGAAAATCCATTGTTCATAATACAATGGATTCTTGGAACAACGGATGATTTTTGGTGGCCCGAACAATCTGTTAAAACAAGATTCTACTGTATGAGATACAAATAAGATGCAAATAAATGTTAGTAGTGGACTCAAACATTTTGACATTAACAAAAGTGTCAACTTCAAGAAAGATAGTAGAACAAATGATGTTATTTGTTCTATAATCATTCAATAACAATTATTGTTCTGCAGTAAAAATTATGTCAATGAATGTTCATTGACATGGTTGGTTTGAAAGTCAGTCTTGAAGGGGAAAGTATTAGAAACTTCCAAATTGAAGCTATAGAATTTTAATATTATTTTTTAAGATAGAAGTTCAGGTAGGAATGCTTAATAATATCAATTAATGCATGAACTGACACACAGAAAATAAACTAGAAAGAATTAAAGGCAAGATATGCATATACACTAGACTCTTGCTAATCTGGTCATTCCTTGTATAGAGTCGTGCCAGATTACTGTGACTGCTTAGGCCTAAAACCTATCCAAAGGCACTGAATGATATGATCTATCAGTCTTCAGTACTGATTTTATTTGGAGGTGGGCAGGTAAATAGTATGGTGCACTGAAATGCAATACCATACGTAGAAATGAAACTCAAATAAACAGGAAAATGGGATAGTTGACACGACTATTATTGCTATAGAAATACAAGTGCAAAGGCAATCATAATAGATGATTTGCTGGATTAGTGAGGGCCAGATTAGCAAGAGTCTGCTATATCTGTGTTGGGTTTTGGAAAAATTACAATATCAGGTAAATGTCTCTGGCACACAGGATTTTTCATGTTTTATAAAAATGTTCTTGGTAACGTTAGAGAAAGGAAAAATTTGTAAAGTTAGCTTCTTGTTCTTAATTTGTTTTTTAAAATATTCTGTCTACTTGGGCCTTTTCTTTTAATCATGACTTATTACAAGAGTAATAAGTCAAATTGACAGATAACTCACATTGTTACATATCTCACACCTGCTTTTAAATTGACTTTAAAACACAGATAATCTGTAGGTTACCTACACAAAATTACAGCATTTAAACTCCATAAAAATTTTTTAAAATTAAATTAAGTTAAAAAGTAAAATTTTATTTTCAGTTAAAACTAACATAAATTAGAATAAACTAACATAATGACATAATGGAAACTTTATACAAATTGTAAACCAGAGTAATAGTAATGCAAGTGGATCTGTTATAAAACAATTAAGAGAAAAAGTCTAAAAAAAAACTGATACATTGTGCAATGTCAATGTTTAAAAGTTTACAAATTTTTTTTCGTTTAATAAAATTCATTTATTGTATAATCTTAGGTCATTTAAATCCTTAACATATGTTTAGCATTATAATTAGAATTACAAATAAACATTGAAACTTTATAAATTAGTTTTTAAGACTTAATTTAAAAACTAATTACAGATCCAGTTAATGTAATTAATTCCACTCCTAAAAAAATGAAGCAAAACAACAATGTTGCGTGTGTTCTTGAGCATAGAGAGAAAGGATTACATTCGAAATTCAAGAATGACAACTTGAGATTACGGGAATTGGCTGAAGATAAGGTGGCAACATATCGTATGGAGGAAACAGTAAGTTTTGAAATATAATGTTTTAAGAAATTAATTTGAGATTAGTACAATTGTTTTTCATAATTTATTAATGATATTAATAAAATGAAGACTATTTACATTAGCAAATATCATAATACTTTTTCAACAATAACACACCAATTTCCTTGATCATAATAACTCTCTGACTACTATTTACATTAGCAAATATCATAATACTTTTTCAACAATAACACACCAATTTCCTTGATCATAATAACTCTCTATTATTTTAACATTAGCAATGCTCAATAATAGTGTTTCTAATTCTCCCTTCACAAACACGTGATAATATCGATGGTAGACTGTGGCTGAACTGCTGTTTTTATTTTCATCTACTTTATTCCATGGTACAAATATGTCCTGCTGTAGAAATTGAGTTTTATTAATATGAACAGGTAATTTAGTACCCATAAATTCTATCTGATGTCTTTCACGATCTGTTTCACTTATTTTTGCATCCTTGGATGCTTTCAAATAATTAGAAGATCCTTTCTCACTTTTTTGTTCCATTGCCCAAACATAAATCAATGCTCTGCCATTTACTTTTAATATTCTCACCAATTCTTCTATGGCTTTCTTACGTCTAGTCTGTAATGAAAAATATTTTAATGAGAATAATTATTAATGAAAATAAAATATAATCAGAATTACAAACCTCTGTAGCCATATGATGCAAAACTGCAATGGAAATGCATGCATCAGCTATTCCTGACCGAAGAGGCAATTTTAAATTATCGGCGACGAAAACTTCTAATCCATTGCTTCTACAGATTTCAATCAGTTTATGACTGAAGTCACAGCCAATCTGAAAACATATTCTCTTTATCTTGACAAATTTTCTATTTTTATCAACTTGTTTTGAAATTTTAAGCCATATAATTACATATTTTATTTTGTCTTCTCATTGCAATAATAAATTACTTATAAAAATAATTAATAATAATAATAATGGCAATTGATTAGAAAATGTAAAACATAACAACCTAAACTTCTAACATATGTTTCCAACTAATTAATTCAATATAATTTTATAAAATCATGGATCATACTCCTGTAATAATATATATTTTATTTTATATGCTTACTTTAATATATACCCTGTATATATTATTTATGTACTATGGTTTTATCCCCAATCACTTTGCTTGCTTGCCAAAGCTTCCCAAGGTGAGTAGATTTTTACTACTTTTATATTTATATGCTTTTTTTATACATATGTTATAGCTAATGTAACATAAGTATGCTATGCATATGCTACCATAAAGTTCATGAATCAGATAAAGCTAGGATTATCTAGCTAATGACTTTATCCAAGTCTTCTGGTTAAAGTAGGGGGTACCCAAACTTTTTATCTCATCAACCCCTTTATATTTGCCTTCTTATCGACCCCCAGATTATGTATTTAACAAAAATATTAAATCATTTTTGCATTTCTGATGTTAAGTGATAAGGAGACCTGCATAACAACCCAACAAAACAATTTATAGTTCCCATTTCTTATAACATCCACCCAATAACATTAACAGAAAAAGGAGATATTTTCCATTGATTTATAATCTTAAAAAATAATAGCAAAATTATGGATAGATGGAAATTTGCATATAGTTCTTAAACTGTACGTGTCATAATATGTAAAACACACAATTATCCTTGAAAACATAACATAAGTTATAATGGATGAAAAACCTCTTACTGTCATTTTGCGACTACTACTGAATGCCTTCAAAATATGTTAACATACCTTTTTATTAAAATAATTGATATTAGTGGGATGGATGTGTCTGAAGTGAAGCAGCAAGATTATTGATATTCGGTTGGAAATTGCAAGTCACCATGGTTTTCCAAGTTCAATCTGTTCGTCTGTTTTGTCAAAATTGCGTTCGCATGGCTAAAAACAGCTTCAATCATGTATGAAGTTCGGAATGCAAGTAAGAAAGGTTCGGCTTCTGCTCTGAGCTTAAGATATTTAGTGGCAATATTGTTATTGCTCCAAAATTCACTGAGGTTTTTATTTTTAAACAATGCTTTAGTTTCGAGATCTACACATATTTCACTCAATTTATCTTCTAAGCCAGGTTCACTACCTTCATTATCTATTTTTACATCAAATGGATTAGCAAACTATTCGGGAACATGCATATTCTCCAAGTCTTCGAAATGTGCTTTAAAGTCTTCTCTTAATTTATCAATATGTTTAATATATATCTCCAAATTATGGTAGGAAATTTTTTCATTTTCTTTCTTTCTTTCGTCTCCTCCCTGGTTCATATGGAGATTATATTTTCATTTTCTTTTAGTACTCGCAAGTTTGAAAAATATTTAAACTGGATTGTGCCAGTGAAGATTTAAATAGCTCCATTTTTACTTGAAAGGCCATTATGATTGTTCGAGCTTGAACGATTGTAACGTTTTCTTCCTTGCAAACGCTTCTGTACTATATTAATGATTTTCGATATATTACAATATTTTCTCTGTAAAGGACAAAATATCTACATTTAGATATAAAATACTTAGCGTGACAACCCTACTAGAGTGTAACAGTGCAACGTAAGTCTGTGTATAATGAACTTCCAGCATTCATAATATGTTTGTAACACTAGTACAGTTGCCAGATGCGTGAAAACAGAGTAACACATGCTTAAAGCAGCATAGGCTAAGGCAAAACTCAAGTTATAACTAGGGTAGTCAGTAATGTTGATCATATCCGTATTTCTCGTTTTTATTGGAATATTCTATTTTTTTCCTAGACAGTTTAATTTATCCTTTTTGTTATTAATCGACCCCTGGAGAACTCTTATCGACCACTTTGGGGACCCCTAGGTTAAAGCAAGAAACAATCTATTTATCCAAGTCACAAGTACATAAAGCCAACATTATTCAAAAATGGATGGATGAAGCAAAATCAAAACTTAAAATTTGGGCTTTATTCCCACTCCATTTTGGATAAAATGAAAAAATTTAGGGTTTAACTTCAGCCAGATAATCTGCAGACAGATTATCAGACAGATAATCTGATAATCTGTCAAGTCACTGTCTTTCCAATGCAGTGACTTGGATAAAGTTAGCTTTATCTGATTCATGAACTTTAGCCATAACATATATGCATACGCACTTAGTTAATTCTAAAATATTAAGTTACAAAAAACAATTTATAAATATAGCATGGAAAAGTTTATATAATTACTACAAGCTTTGTCCTGGATTATTTTTAGCAGTCTGAACCATAAATTTTGCATTGATTCATGTCATTTTGCTTCTCAATTTCAATTTAAGTAATAATTCTTTATAAATATTGATTAAATAACTAACTAATAAAAAATTAAATAAAGAATAATCAATGGTCAGACAAAAGAAAATGTTATGATTTAAAATACTGAAGAACAAATTTTTTATTTTAAATATGCAGATGGCACTTAAATTAATTGACGCTTCAATGCAGTTTGCTTTTATGAAATAATAAGGGTTGAATTTTCACACATCATAATGTCTAAAATATTTAGCTTTTAGACATTTTAGATTTTTCTGGCAACATATCTTCTTTACACTGTACTAATTTGTTTTTCTATAAGAAATCTACATTACTCAATATTTCATGTCTGTAGTGAATGAAGTCAATGCAGCTTTTGCTTTTCCAGCTGTTATGTATACATAACAAGCTGTCAAATCTGACACACTGAGAGTTTTGGAAATCTCCACATTTTGAGACCCCTGAACCCAAAAAAGTAAAAAAACTAGAAAAAATTTTCATAGATGTGTGTTGGTATGTATTTTGTTTAATATCTCAGGATGGGATAATGATGAAATTTTGCATGGTAACTTGGATATAAGTGGTATTGATGCTATTCAATTTCTATGGATATGTCATATAAAGGAGTGTCATATGTCATACTTCAAAAGCAATGGGACATAATGAAGATGTTATTTGTTATTAGCATTTACAATTTTTTTATAAAACTCATCACTACCCTCAAAATTTAGCCTTTTGCCATTTTATAATAATTAATAATATAAAAACTTTTTATAACCAAATCTCATAACAAAATGGCACCACATACAATTTTATTCATTATAATTAAAAATATANTATTTCCATCATTTCTAAGAAAACTACTACTCAAATATATATCCTATCATAAAAATGTCCGCAGCTTGCCATCTTTTATTGGAGATGAGTTAAATTTTAGCCTTTTGCCATTTTATAATAATTAATAATATAAAAACTTTTTATAACCAAATCTCATAACAAAATGGCACCACATACAATTTTATTCATTATAATTAAAAATATACTGTAAAAGTTATTTTTTTATCAGTCAGGAAAGTTATGCAACTCATGGCTGGAGTTTTTAATATTAGATTCATAGAATTTACTACAACTTTTGTTTTAAATGTTAAAATAAATTAACACAAAAAATTTGTTATACATGCATTATTATTTCTATGCTTTTTTGTATACACAATATATTTTCTTTTCAAAGCTGCTACATCATAATGTAATCTTTTCAAATCATTTTTGAGAAAAGTCCAAAGTTCAGTTAAACTTAACATATAACTGAAATGATAGCAGGATGAACAGACTTAAAAGCATTTGCTCATACAGATTATGTCAATAACTTTACTAACTAACAACTGAAAGTTTCTGTTGTCATTAATTATAAGACTACTACATCTACATCTACTATAAGACACATTATAATTTCAGAGATATTAAAATATAAAAAAATATTTCTTAGAATTGAAGAAAATTCAAATAATAGAAAAGGAAAGATCAATGCAAAAAATTATATATTTTTTAACCTAACTTTTTTTAAAATGATAAGTAATTATCTCATTAATTGATGTCATATTCAAATAAAGATAATTTTTTTGAGATTTTATGAAAAACAAAATTTGATACATGATATAAAAAATATATGTAATCCTATATTGCACAATTATCCATTATATAGTTACAGTTTCCAATAGTTTTCGTATGTACAATCAAATAGTCAATTCTGTATATGTGCATTGAGTGAGTAATACCAGTTGTTTTCAACCTTTAGTGGTGCATAATTATTGGCAAGCTAGTGTTACATCAAAGATGTCTATACGTTTAGATGAAATGCAATGTTGAAGATTTCCAGTTTTTTATATAAACTGTATACAAATAATATTAAAAAATATACATTTAACAATAATTTTTTTGAAATTTTGTAGCACACTACTTGAGATCCATTGGGTTATACCAGGGGTGGCCAACAGTTTTTGTCCCCGGGCCAGATTGGAAAGAAAACTTTTTCCACGGGCCGAACCAGAGAGTGCCTAGGAAGACTTTGAGGTGGTGCGAGATCTCATTGTGGTGTCACCCCGTAAAGACTAAATTGTACATAGAGATTACAGATACATTTTTCACATTATTATGCTTTATCAACATTCTACGCTGTACTTACGAGATTTGTAATGGAGGGTTAATTATAATTTTCTTTAAAAGTATATTCATACAATTGAAGAATATTTTCTACCAGATCCACCACACATTTTATTTCACCAAGTAAGTTTTTATAATTTTATTTTTAATTTTAGCATATATCGTGGCTAACGATTCGGAATGTAATTGCGATATTGAAAATTTATTTTAAAAAAGTTTTGGCTCGAGATCATATAATGAAAAAGAAAACATTATTAAAAGAGAAGGGCCAATGCCTAAGTTAAATATAAACACTTTAATAAAAAATTTGTTCCACATTTTCACGACAAAATGGCTTTGTAAATGCNTTAATTATCTTTAAATTAATGATTAGATTTTTAATATATAATTAAAACATATAATAGAATTATAATTAATAATATGTAATATATAATTATATATTAAAAATATAATCAAACATAATATATTAAACCATTGTAATATTGAAATTACAAACCCATGACTCCATAAATATCTGCTTTCTTTTGACATAATTAAGACACTATATCTTGGTAACAATATTGGAACATGACAGCCATTGGGATGATGAAATTCCATGACTATCTTAAAACAAATGGACAATGGATTATTATTATTATGAAATGAAGTAATTTTTAAGATATAAATTGTAGTTAACTAATATACAGGATACAAAGTTTTTACATTTAATATATTATTACTATTCTTGTTAAACGTAATATTTTTATCTGCAAAAAATAATCTTGATATTATAAATTTATCTAATTAAACGATATTTTTAATCTTAAACAATATTTATTATAACTATTGAATTAGCTTTTTTACTCTATCTTGTGGAGGGTAAATCAAAAATAATAATTTTACACTATCCACAATACATAGAGATTCTTTAATTAAAAGTAAAATTTTTGCTTCTTAGCAAGAAAAGCTTCTTCAATTAAAGTTTGAAAATAAACAAATTTTTTATTATTAACATTTATTTTCTTTCACAAAATGTTGGGGAGAATTATACTTGTGGCAGATAACTATAACATGATTCCTTGTTTACATTCAGGAGTTGTGCTGCATAGTGCCAAAATTGCCACTTGGGAATAGTTTTATTAAAATGGTGATACAAGTATAATACTGGTGATAAAACCCTTAGTCCACTTATTTTGACATTCTGGATGAAATTAAATCATAAAGCATGCTTCAGCTAAAGCAAAAAATTTGGATATGACAAAAGCTGTGAAATACAGTTTAAGCATTGTGATCAAATGTGTTATTCAGAATTATTCATTAAAAAATTATTCCTATTTCTAAGTGACAACTTAACATGTTAATTTTCCTTTCCAGATTCCAAACTGATAAGGCTACCAGCACTGCATTAATTAGTAATGCAATACTAATTGCATTAATTACTAACACTAATCCTATTGCAGTAATACTAATTGCATTAATTAGTAATGCAATTAGTAGTGACAATAAATAATTTGAAATCGTGAAAAAGATTAAAAACTGGCAAAATAATTGGCAATTTTTAAAAATTTTCCTGACTGACCCCTGTATATACATCAGAATTATAACAATAAATTATATATCGTAATACCTGAGATCCCAAGTTAAATACAACAATACAATCTTCAAAAGCAGAATGAGTATCAATATGGACTGGTATACCTAATTTAAAATAATTTTAAGAATAAATTCATATGTTTTAATATCAAAGCTTTTAAATGTTTTATAAAAATGTTATAAAGAATAAAACCAAAAATTGTATTTTATTTTAAAGAGTAAAAGGTTACATTTAAGTAAATAAAATGAAAACTATGATAATTAATTAATGCACCGAATTAAACATGTGATCAAAGAAAATAGGAAATAAATACATGTTAAGAATGAGGTTCATTTAAATTTCTAAAAACTGAACATTTAAAAAATTTGTTATATATACAGTGTAAAGAAGATCTGAATTGAAATTTCTTGTTTTATAAAAAGTAAATATAGTTATATAAATTTGTTTAAAAGCTTAAGGTAAATATTTCAATTAGTAATATATATATTAAATTTCAGTAAAATTTCATAATAATAAGTGCATCCATAAACAATGAAAATATACATTTTCAATTAGAAAATAATTCTCATTTTCTGTATTTCTATCCAGTGTTTTATTTTAAATTTTAATATAAATTTTATTAAAATTTACCTTGTCCGGGTAGATAATAATTTACAGTTAATTGATCTGGCATTGTATTTATGTACTTCTCTTCAATTAGCTTTGCTAGATATGGATGACAAATTTCAGGAATCTTCTCATCTAGAGGATCATTTTTGTCAATGTTGTTAATTCCATATTTGAATTCATATCCAAAATGCTTTACTCTTCTATGTTTCAATTGTTGAGAATCTAAAAATTTTTTAGATAGAACATTTCTGATATAAATTTAAATTTCTTAATAAAAATTATTTAACAGAATTTTACATATTTTGAAAAAATTAAATTTAATAATAAAAATTATGTAGAGTAAAAACTAATATAGTATTTCCATCATTTCTAAGAAAACTACTACTCAAATATATATCCTATCATAAAAATGTCCGCAGCTTGCCATCTTTTATTGGAGATGAGTTAAATAAGCCTGTTTTCCAAAGTACAGAATTATTAAAAATTTTCATAATTAAGAAGATAACTAATAAAAATTGTTTCAAAAAGAAAATCTTAGACCTAGTCTCTTATTAGAGTCTCTTTAAAATATGCTGCTTTGCAAATTAAAAGAAATTTCATAATTTTTCTGGATTTCTGAAAAGTGGTTAATTCAATTTTATGAAATGCATTTCTACTATAATATTTATCGTTTCTAAATGCAAATGATTCATCCACACAAGTGTAGTTAACTACCTTGTGATGATTATAAATAAAACATGTTTTTGGCCTAATATATAAAATAATTCACATGACTGTGTTACAGGAAAAAATTGCTTTAAAAAAGGTTTGGAAAAAGAGAGGTGCAAAGCTATGATATCCAGCATGCTAACTAGTGATTCATATCTTACACATTCAACTACACATACCTGAAATTTGATTTTTACAAACTTAGTACTAATCAAAACAAAAAACTTTCAACATTGATATCTTGCAATTGTGCATTGACAAGTTACTTCACTGTTTATTAGACAAATAAGTGTACTATAACATATTAAAATATCAAACAATTCAAGGAGAGCAAGGGTTGATGGTCCTCTTGTTAATAGTAGTTTTTTTTTTATAATATTTTTATCTCTGGTATAAAATAGCAGTTATAAAAGATTATACAAGATAATGAGTCTTTTTTTTTTATTAAAAAATGTTATATATAATTAAAATTAAATTAAATGGAAAATTTCGAACAGCCACATCTTTATCATTTCAAACATATATAAAGATAAGCTATACTGATGATTAAAGGCAATTTAATAAGAACCTCTATTCTCTAATAGCCCTCTTTAATCATTTTTAGAAAATATGTTCTGAGCATTTTTAAAAATATTCAATCATAATTTTTGTATCAAAGGACTTTTACTTTCTCTAATAACTCTTAATTATAATTCTAATAACTTCTATTATATAATATACTACAGCTATAATGAGTTATTAAATGTTATACAGTAGACCTCCCTATAACAATGTTGATAATTCCGTGTTATATGAATTCCATGTTGTACAAGTCACTTAGATTTTACAAATACATGAGCCGTTCACAGCCTGGCACATGTATTTGTAAAATCTAAGCAACTCGCACAACATGGAATTCATATAACATGGAATTATCAACAGTGTTATAGGGGGTCTACTGTATTACATTCTTGGTCATTCATGCATTTCATAATCAACTTCAACATCAAACCATGCATTTCAATCAATGTGTATTGAAATATTAGATGGTGTATGTATGTATGTATATAAGATCTTTTTAAACATTTGGTATATATTATACCTCTCACTAAATACATGTCAAAGACTTAAAAGACAAAGCATGTGTAATCCTGAATATTTACATGTACCATACACTAAATATATATTACATTTCATTATAATTTCTAACCATAATTTATGAAAATTTAATTGTATACATTTCTTTTTATAATGTCAGATATATTTTTAAACTTACCTGAATCATCCCATTTGATACACTGAAGTATTTTTTCTTCTTGTTGCTCAGTAAAAAAATCTTTAATAAGAATTAATCCAGGAGGAAAATTCTCATTCTTAAAAAGCTTCTGGTTGCTTGGAACTAAAATATTTTTTAAAAATAAATAAATAAACTTTCAAACCTAGATAAATGCATAAACAAGTAAAATGGCAAAACTGTATTTGGGACAAGACTATGTCTCGGAGATGGAATCACTTTGATACTCAAGGCAGGTCATCATTCTCATTCTCTTATCTTCTCTGACATCGCTGCTTTTGGGTGCAATCATTCAAACTTTGCCAGCCCAACCACAAGATCGTCCACAATGCATCTTCGATGAAATTAACCTATCTAATTTCAAAATTTCGTGTCGGCCCAGGTTGAATTTTTGTCGATGCATAAGAAAAGTTCCCGTTTTTGAAAAACTAATCGTGGCTATTGTATCACCCGAAATTATTTTTTTATTTTGCACAAACAATGTACAGTTTAACCCGATTATAATGTCATCAAATGTAACGACAACTCTAATATAACGTCAAATTTTTATCGGTCCTACGATTTTACTATACTAGATAATGTTAAAAAACCTACTTGTAATGACATAAAACCCTGTTTTAATGTCATATTTGAAGCACTCTCAAATTTACAAAATTAGATTACAGATTTTATTTAACATAGAAGAAACTACGTGTTCAGTCCTAAGGTCAGAGTTCACTTCTTAGAATGACCGTGGGTTGTACTCTCCCCTGCCTGACTTTCAGTGGGGTGAGGTGGCTGTTTTGCCTGTTTGTAGAAGAGGGTTGCCATTTTGTATTTTATTTTGGCTCGATTCTCAGTCCCTTGACTACCTACAAGTCTGGATTTTTTATGCACATATGATTTGGGCACCTAATACTCTGTGCCAAATATAAACTCTCAACATGTACTCCTTCATACCTCTATGCTGGTAAGAATGGGTGGCAGTACGATTTTATAAACAAGACATAGTCTTGTCAATAATGCAAAACAATTAAATATGACTATTAAAAATTTTCATATAAATTAATTAATAAATACAAGTACCATACATATACAATTTATGAAATACAAATTCTTACAATAATTTTTTATAACTAACAAAATCAACTTTAGCTTTCTCTGAAATAAACAGTTTATGTAATTTATTCAAAGTTTATTTGATATATATTATTGAATGATAATCAATTAAGTTATATTTATTTATATTTAATGCAATATTATTTTTGAATATGTTTGAATGTTTAGTTTTGTTCTATTTTAACAGATCATCTGTAATGAAATTTTTTGTTTGCATGTAACTAAGAAGAAAACAAAAAGCCTGATGATGCTACATTTGAATTCATTTATTTTTTAAGAATGTGATTTCAATTTAAAAGTAATTAAAATAGTGTATAAAAGTAAAGCAATACAGTATATAAATTTTTTCCAATAATTATATTTTTTTCCTTATATTTCTAGGGATTAAATGAATTAATTATTATTTAAACATAATTAATGTGTGATTCTGAAATAACAGAATCTTATAACAATGCTCAAACTTATATTGTAAGGTTAAGTATTATCTAATGTTTAAAAGCTCTGTTTCTTCTAATCAATCTAATGATCTGAAGAAGCAATGGGTTTCAGAAACATTAATAGGTAGATAATATGCGACTCCTACAATATAAGCTTGAGCATTTTAACTTTGTTGAAATTAAGGAATTAAAAAAAAACAAGTTCAAGATAACATTTGAATTTATAAATAAAATCTTATTATATATGTCTTATAAAACAACTTGTTATAAGACCATGCAAAGTCAAAAAACAAAAAAAAAAAAAATT